TGGAAGGGTAGCTTTCGCAACATAACGTGCGAGACATTCATTAAAGTGCGTGGCACCATATTCGTTTGCGACCTTGTCCAATGTGACCGCCTTGATGGTAGGATGCTTTGTCATCGTTTGAGTACGACGAAATGTCATTTCTGGGGGACGGGGCTGATGATGCGACGTGTGGTGTTTTCGACGAGTCTCCACTGAATGTATTTCTCGTGACGTGAAATTTTCTCCCTCCGTTCAAGCCAAGTCGTCATTTGACCAAACTCATTCTTGTGGTTCGTAGAGCGATAAGCATCTTTCGCAAGGTCGATGTGAAGGCGTTCGGGTGTATTCGGTATTGTAGTTGTCCGTAGTGCCATACATTCGAATCATGTGAGCGTAGTGAGCTGTGAAGTGGAGTTTTGGCAAGTTGAAGGAATTCCGAATGCCAAGGTCAATAAAGATGTCCTTGTTGTCGTGGAAAAGGTTAAGTGCCTCGTCAAGTAAAACCAGCGTCTCAGAGCTGTGACATGGGTACTGAGCAAAATAAAAAGTCTAGCAGACCACGAACGGCACGGAGGAGTCGAGCGGAAGACATATTATTAGGTAGACTGATGTCGATGATGATGCCGAGCAAGAAACGGCAAATTTGATTATGTTCTGTACCGCTTACACGTGAAAGAGTTGTGATGCCCTTCGTAAATAGTCGAATATGGTGATTTGGGGGGAGGCGTCGACATCGTGCATCAATCTCCGTACTGCCACATGCATCAGAAAGCCAAGCGAGGAGATGCTTGACGAGCCCTTGGTATAGTTGATGCAGAATATCAGGAGTTATGGATTCGAATATATTGACAAAGGGTAGTCCCTCCCAGAATGGGTGGACAATAGGCTTAATGCCAGCATCTGCGCATGCACGCACAAAGGCCAATCCACCTTGGTCAAGAGCGCAGAGGGCATCAAGTACTGCACCAAGGTCTCGTGGTTGCCAATTTGCGACACCAGTTGCTAGACCAAGCTCGTCGGAGGGAACATCGCAATTTGGACATTGAGTTGTCTTGACTCCGGTAGCTAAAACTTGCTCTGGGTAGTCTCCTGCAAAACATGCAAACAAAGGATGGCCTCGACGCATTATTCCATCACCACTTCGCATATTAATGCCATTGATGCCGGCAGCTGTGAGTGGTGCAAGTACACGTCCCACACAAGCATGATATAAATTGGCAAGCATCCGTCGGCGAGCAGCTTTGTTGGTAACGTGTTCAAGGCGAGTAGTTGGAAGGTATGCGAGGAGGACATGTGCCTGGCGTGACGGTTTCCGACGAATATCCTTTGGGATGTTTCCAATAGTCATGTAGACGGGGTATGCTGTCTTGTTGCGAAACATCGTAACTTGAGTCTTGTCTGATGAAATGATGATGGGAATTATTGTAGCACCAGGGCGCTCGTGATCTAAGTGTTTCTAGGAAGAATACAATATTAATATTAGTACGTTGAAGCTCACAAAAGGTAGAAAACACCGACCTGACTATTCCACCACCATTTTCCAGTATGCATCTCATGATATAAACGAATCGTCTCATCTTCGTCGGCATAATGGCGTTCAGGCGCAAAGACCAGAAAGTCAGCAAAACTTGGATCACTGAAAAGAGCCTTGATGCATTCAATGATATCGCGATAGTAGACATCAAACGCTTCATTAGCAACGACAATCTGATCGTTTGAATTTCGGACGGCCTGGAAGTTCATCGTCGATGATCTTGTTCAGTTCCCGTGTATTCTTGAAGGAAAGACCAATCTTTTCGCTAAGCTGGAAGTGCTACAATTAGATTGATCCTAGTGTTCGAGTAAAGCACGGACTTACACCTTCAATAGAAACAAGTTCTGAGAACGCAGTTGAGCTTGAACCTCGTAATTTTGCCCATCGAGCCATCTCCCAATCAAGCTTCGAGGCGAATGGGGCATAAATATTATCTGCACTCGAGCCATTAAGCTGTGCATGGTAGGTTATATTGCTTGGCTGCTTGATGGCTGAGTCGATGGGCTGTCCAGCTCGTTGATCAGGGTAATGGACAATTATAGGTACTTGTTCGTGTTCAAGAAGTCGCCGCTGCGCCATATGAAAAGCATCTTGGCCTTGATCTGTGGTAGGTGGGTGTAAGGCATCATTGTGCGCAGGTGCTGGCACTACAGGAGGTTCCCATTCGTCATGATTGTTAGTGTCATGATGCTCCGCAGAATGACTTGAGGGTGCTGGTGCTGCAGGAGGCTCCCATTCGTCGTGATCGTTGATGTCATTATCTGAGTCATCTTCATCCATAGGTGCTTGACCAACATCCCCCTCGTCATCTGACCCTGGCCATGCAAACTCATCCTCAGCGTATGTTCCAAAAAAATCACCTTCAAAATGCAGCGGATGATTTGGATCAGGTGCGTCTATATCTACATCATTTGCTGGGTCTGGAGCGAATCGCCGTGAGGAAAGGTAGAGGGTACGACAGGCAGGATTGGTGGTTTTTGCGAGATGCTGACTATAACCGGTGATTGATGCAAGCTTTTTATCGCAGGAAGGGACATGTTATTTCGGGCATGTTCTGCGTAGATTCAATAAAAAATGAACACTGAACGCCTGAAAATCACTTACAACTTGTCAGTCAACAGTAAGGACAAATAAAGTGTGCGAGTCTGACAGTCAGAGCAAAAAAGTGGTGTCAGCAGCATGTAAGAGGCTGTGAGGCTCTGCCGAAGTAAGAAATATTGGGTAAAGTGATGACGGTATTCCGCATGCTCGGAGATTGGTAAATTCAAGTCTTGCAGTGACGGAACCAGATATCAGACTCGTTAAGCACATCAGATAAATGACTTTTGCGAAGCACAGTAGCTGAACACGACAAACATAGAGGGTAGTAATGGAGAGGAGAATGCTTCTTGATAGTTCATAAACGGGGGAATGCCAAAAGTTCCCAGCCGATGGGGCCGTTACTAGGGAAGAACACTAGTTGAAGATGCTAACATAGAGGGGTGGTAATGGAGAGGAAAATGCTTCTTGATAGTCCGTAAACGGAGGAAATGGCTTTCGCCAAGTGCCGTAGTGGAACATAGAGGGTGGTAATGGAGAGGAAAATGCTTCTTGATAGTCCGTAAACGAAGGAAATGGCTTGCGCAAGTGCCGTAGTGGAACATAGAGGGTGGTAATGGAGAGGAAAATGCTTCTTGATAGTCCGTAAACGGAGGAAACAACTTGCATCCGATTAGCGTGCCACCAATAAGAAAGTTCCCGATTGACAGGACCGTTACTAAGAAGAGAATGGTGTGCGCACTAGGACTACTTTGTAAAGCTGTGTTTTAAGTTTCTGAACATAAACTCACCAAATAGCAAACTAAGCCAGACAAGGAAAGGGTCAACCCTGGCTCAGCGCTCAGTATAATAAGCGGACTGTTTCAAATTAAATGCCTGACCCCAACTTAAATAAAAACACTCACTCACCTTTTTGAAGCGGTCTTTCTCCAGCAGAAAGGCACTCTCACATTCGTTTTTCAGACTTTTTACTCCTTCCGACCTTAATTTCCCTTCAATGGACTTGCATCCACGGCGTAAGAAATTTTTCATGACAACAAAGTTAAAACTCACTTGGTTCAAGTACGACGCAAGGCAAAAGATCAGGCTCTAGACAATCCAGGTAAGCACATTGTCACCATACAAATTCATACTCACAATGATACTTTGTGGCAGTTTGGGGACCACTCCGCCAAAACAAACGGGCACGCAAGCACGAACGCTCACCCACTGATGATATTGCACCTATTCCAAAACGGGTCAAGTCAGTCAAAAGTAAGTCGCGATTAGTAGTAGCTCACCTGTAGTGATGACCCGCCATGATGGATGCAGGTGGTGGAACGAAAGCAAGCGTGCCAGAACCTCCCCTCAGAACTGGAAAAAGCAAAAGCTGCAGTAAGTATCAGTGCCCACACAAAAGCCAAACTTGCTCACAGAAAGATTAGAGCGGCCACCACCTCTCGCATCAGACTCTGAGGACAACATGGAGGTTAGCCAACCTCAGCGGTTAAAGAAGAGGGGTCAGCATTGCGTGTTGCCACGTGACACTCTTACTAATGGTTGAAAGTTATAGCTCGTGTCAGTGTTGAACCGTCAGATATTGATTCGGACACTGCTAGCAAGCAGAGTGTCTCTGATAGAGCTTCCAGCTCCGAAATTGAAATGTCGGACTCAGGATCAGAGCCAGTCGAGAGCATCGCAAAAGCTCTGTTTGAAGAGGTGAGTCACTTCGCACTGCATTCAATAAGCTTAAGTAATCTGCATGAACTTTCAAGGTTCCTGCAATTGTCAATACGCAGGCAGACCGCCAGAAAAAGCCTGCAAAGAGTAAGTCTGGCAGACCTCGGAAGACCAGATATACTCTGTCCCGGTCACCAACACCTCCACCACCTGTATGGGGCTCACAATACAGGCCTTGGAGTGCGAAAGAAAAGAAATATACTGCCGAAGTAAGAATATATTTTGTTCCTTTGTATTCTGAGTCTACTGAAACCAAAATTCGCTCAATAGATCCCCATGTGGGACTCTCCAATGACGAGGTCATCCTTTGGACCGCAGCCTCTCAAACACAGTAGCAAGAGCAATACGCCCTCCTCCGCAGTACAAGTCAAGGAAGATGAGGAAGACCTTTCCATCCTCGAAATCAAACCTGAGCCCGATGTGCCCCCACATGCTGACATGATGGCTGATCTTGTCTACACGAAGACTGGGTCAGTGCGACTTACGGACCAGAACACGGAGCTTCGCAAGGTGATCCATCATGGTATCCTCGAGGTCAAGGCATACATTGCCTTCAAGCACGGGTACCCTGAAATTGTGGCCAAGAACTCATATGCGCGGGAAATCTTACTTCAGGCTGCGAAGCACCACAAGACAGCGCCAATTGAGAAACGGATGTATGTTGATGATGAGTATTTGTCGGCACTTGCCAATCTAGTAAGTAATCTGTCTTACTTTGATTTAATATTGACACCTGCTATAGATTGATGCTCGTGCGAGCCTCTTCCGCACTGAAATCAAGGACGTCGCCTATAAATATGCCCCAGGCTACTTTCGACTCGGCCGTGACTGCAATGCTATCGTTGACCGTCTCCTTGCGGGTCATTCCTACATTTTTCCGCAGACATTTGATGTTAGTTTTTTCGCACAAGAATTTGACATCCCACTGACACCTCGCATCAAGGCTGAGGGTCTTCCTTCTCCAAAACGACAGAAGCCATATCAAGGGCAGCCCATAGTCGACACTCTATACGAGACATTCTTCAAAAACACGAAGTCAGTTGGTTTGCAGTTTGCTCAGCACTTTCTTGACATTGCGGAGAACAAAACTGGTTGACCAGAAATCCCTATCCCCATGTTGGCCATGGTCAGCACAGCTGTAAGTTTGTGTTCGCACTCATCTGTTCATTGACTCACTTCTTTGTTGTTAGATCCATGCTGTTCTCGTTGCAAAGAAGAACAAGGCAGGTGAAGATTTCAAGTTCACTGGTAACCAATTCTGTGATATCTATACATACCACGTGGCATTGTTGGAGAGAATCCGAAGGACGGCTCCTGTCAAGTTTCACAAAATGATGGCCGATATTTACGAGGAGGTCCAGTAAGTCCACATCCAATTTGGTATACACGTTGCTGACTTACTGTTGCTTACAGGCATTTACGTCGTGACACAATTGGAGTCTATGACAAAGATACCGATCTAGCATTCTTGGACCTTGAGGGAATGGATGACGAGTAGAATACCTCACTGATGCTGTGCCATATTTTGCAGGACATAGGATTTAATCTTCGATACCCCACTGCTCGCTATATCTCACCACTCGCTATGTTTTCTCGTGCTTGTTTTGCTCATATGAGTCGTACATTACTGCATCAGCCTGATACCCGATTTTAATGATATTAATTTTTTCATGTACTCGAAGTGTGAAAGTCTTCCTATTAGTGTTTCCTAGGGCACGTAAAGGCTTTCCTAGGTGTCTACTAGGACACGTCAAATTGTTTTTAAATGACAGCAAGGTATGGCTAATTGTTCTAAATAGCAGCAAGGTATGGCTAATTAAAAATCAGCAATAAAGTCTGGCTAGGATGTCTAGCCCATCTAATATGTCTAATATGTATTAGTTGCACGAAAAAAGATCTAATCCGAACAGCTTTATCTAAGTTTACATGGGAGGGTTTTCCTGATGTAGCAGGTAAGAGTAGTCTCAGTCTCTGGGAACAGAACTGAGTATTGACAAAACGTGTACCTAGCAGGTAAGAGTACTAGGTCGCGTCAGCATCTGTATACGAATAGCTAAGGTATGGGTACTCACGTCTCAGTCTCTGGGAACAGAACTGAGACGCTCATCTGCGTGCGCGCTAGACTTTATACTGTAAGTGATTCCTTATCGGACATATTAGAATGAAACATTGATACTGTGCAGCCGTCGGCCCTGACGTCACATCCTCCTCGTGCCTGCCTTTTCTCCCCTTGCGCTCGCATCATCTACTCGTCACGGCGTGCCTTGCCCTCGGTTTCATCGGCGTCGTTCTCGGAGCATTCGGTCGACGACACTCCCCCTCGAGCGCAAGCTAGTCCCATGTGGGCTCTAAGCTTTTGCAAACGGGGTCATGGCACTGCCTTCATGAAGGCGTCGGCTACGTTATCGTCTGTGGGGCAGTAGTGGAGCTTGAACGTCCCGTCCTTGACGTGTGAACGGACGAAGTGGTACCGGAGGTCGATATGCTTGGTGCATGACTGAAACTTTCTGTTCGACGCGAGTGCTATAGCGGCTTGATTGTCGCAGAGGATGGGGATGGGCTGCGTAGGAGCTTCGTAGAGCTCTTCGATGAGAAGTCGGAGGTACAGGAGCTCGCGGACAACGCTGGTGAGTGCGATGTATTCGGCTTCGGCTGTGGACAAAGCAATTATAGGTTGCTTACGAGCACTCCAGGCCACGGCTCCCCCGTGGAGGAACACAATGTAGCCCGACGTCGAATGTCTATGGGCTTGGGAGGCCCAATCCGCGTCAACGAAAGCTTCAAGCCCTCCTTCTGTTTGGCCCAACGTCAATTCGAAGGTGTCTGTACCTTTTAGGTAGCGCAGTGCGCGCTTGGCTGCCTCCAGTGGGGGTCTGCCTGGGCTGCGCATAAACTGGGACAAGCACGACACGGCGAACGCAATATCTGGGCGTGTGCTGGTTGCGGCATACATTAAGGAGCCGATGGCCCTCTGGTAAGGTACGTCGCGCATATCCTGCAGCTCTGCGTGCGTCGAAGGGGACTGGTCTGACGAGAGGCTGACTCCAGGTTCCATTGGGGTCTGGACATTCTTGGCGTCGGCCAAATGGAAGCGCTCGATGAGAGTCGCCACATACGCTTTCTGCGACAGTGTTATTGTACGTGCTCTCCTGTCTCTTGTTACCTTCAAACCTAACAACCAGTTTAGTTCTCCCAGGTCCGTAATTTCGAAGAACTGCTGGAGCTGGGACTTGAATTGGAACGATGTGGGAGATGTGGTTTGCCGTGACGGCCATGTCGTCGACGGATACGGTAATGACAATGTGCTCCTTCGGCATGCGCTTGAAGTAGACTGCCGGGTCCACTCTCGAACGGCTGAAACCCAGGTCAGGTGAATACTCCTGCTAGCTCCTCTGCCCCACTCAAAACCGGCTTGCTTGAGTCCGGGGTAGGCTTCTCTTAAGCTTCAACACCTTTCCCTCCTGCCCGGCCTTCAGGTACCCAGGCGGCGCCTCATGTAAGATCTCCTCTTGGATGCTGGCATAGAGGTAACGCACTTTTTATGTCCACCTGATGAATCTCCCAGTCCTTCTGAGGCCGCCATCGTCAGTACTGTGTGTATGGTGGGTCATATTTGCGGTGGGCAGCGAACGTCTCGAAGTAGTCGACGCCGTAGCGCTGGTGGCTGGGCCGTTGGCGACTAGGCGAGCTCGCAACTTGAGCTTCTCTCCGTCCGGGTCCATTGCTTCGTGGTGAGGAACGAAGTGGCAGGGAATTATGTTGGCGCCTCGAGGTGCGTCTATGATTTCCCACGTACCTAGCTTCTCAAGCTGACCAATTTCGTAATCCAGCGCCTCTTGCCACTCTAACTCCATCCGACCATTAACGCCTGCTTGAGAGTAGGTTCTGGCTCTGCAGCGGACCAATGCAAGGTGGATATGTCCTTCTTCGTCTAGAAGATCTAACTCTGACGCCTCCAACAGGGAATCTAAAGCTAGGGACGCGGTCTCCTCCCCTACATTGAGGGCCGCATAATATCCTGGAGGGGGTTCTGGTGCGGGTGGTTCTTGGTGCTGGTGGGGTTGTGGGGTGTTGAGATGGGGTTCTGGCTGGGGTTGGAGGTGGCGGGATGGACTGGACCGACAGGTGCGTTATTAGTATTGCCGCTATTATATTCGTCGTACCGCATGACAGTCTGGCTCCCCCTTGTTCAGCCCATCCTCGGCCACCGTTACCCTCCCTTGGTCCAAAGGTAACGTTCCTCTCCACAGACACTCTGCGCTTACCCGGCCAGTAGATTCTGTAGCCCTTGCTCTCCGCATCCACTCCAATGAAAAGGGCTTCCTCCGCCCTAGGCACGAGTTTGCCTGCATCCTGCAGGTGGACATAGACCTTCGCGCCGAATTCATGCGCTTGGGCGAGGCTTGGCTTGGCCTTTTGGACGAGCTCAAATGGGGTGGTACCAGGAGTCGCTCTAGATGGTAAGCGGTTTCTTTAACCAGGTGGCATAGTTGACAGCCTCTGCCCACAGAAACTTAGGCATGTCCTTGGCGATGAGCATGGCCCTAGCGTGTTCTACCAGGGTCCTGTTCAGTCGCTCAGCGACCCCGTTTTGCTGCGGTGAGTCGTGGACAGTCAACTGGCACTCGATACCCTGCTGACGCAGGTGCTGGTCGAACTCGGCAGACAGGTACTCTCCCCCTCGGTCCGAACAGACCTTGCGTAGGCGCGCTCCTGGGGTCTGCGTCCTAGCCACACCTCATAGGCTTTGAAAGCGGTAAGTGCTCTTCGCTTTTGAGCTTGAGGAAGTGGAGCTTGGTCTGACGACTATAGTCGTCAGTGAAAACTGATATAATAGAGGCTCCCCGCTGATGCTAGGAGTCTGGGCTGGTCCCCACAAGTCCGTGTGGACAAGGTCGCCGTAGGTGAGTGCGCGGCTCTTACTTTCGTTGGGAAAAGGCTGACGTGCTGACTTTGCCTTTGTGCAGGCATCACAGAACTCCGGGCTTCTGAGCTGTGGTCCAGCTCGAGGCCCGTAATCAGACCCTTTTTGACGGCTTCTGCTGCTGCAGGCTGGGATACATGTCCCAGCACCTTATGAAGCTCCCCAATGGTAAGCTTGCCCTGGGCTACGTTCGCATGATGCTGACGTGCCTTCGCTACTGCCACACTGTACAGGCCTTCCACCTGCGGGATTTCGGCGATGACGCGCCGGTTGGGTCCTTGCGAGAGGACCTTGCACATCCGTCCTTCGAAGAGGACAGCCATCCCGCGGCAGCGATCCGATTGGTGGAAATGAGTGTGAAGGCCATGGAAGGTGCGTTACAGTGCGTTTCTCAGCGTCACCTTCGTGCGCTTCTCACCAAGGGGCAACTCTAGCTCGACATCTCCTCGACCAACGGCACTCAGACTGGAGCCGTCGGCGGTGCGGATCTCCTGGGGGGGTATGGAGGTGAAGTTGGTGAACTTCGTCCGGTCTGGACAGAAGTGGGAGGTGGCTGCCGGAATCGATGATGGCGCCATGTCTATCGGCAGGGACCTTCAGGTCCTTGGCTATGCTTGCCAAGTCGGACGACACGAACACGTACTGGTCCTGGGATCCGGACTCTGCAGCTGAGTTCGCCGTCTCTTTCTGCCCTCTTTCACCCTTCTTCCTCTGCTGATTCGGGCCTTGGCCCTCTTTCCCTCCGCCAGGTCTCCAGCAGTCTGTTTTGTAGTGACCTTTACGGTCGCAGTTATAGCAGGTAACGTCTGCATTCGCCTTGCTCGACGTAGCTGACCTTTTTCCCTTTTCTCTAGACTCTCTCGCACTAAGTGCGGTCCCTGCACTCCCCTTCTTAGTGGGGCGCTTCTCGGTGAGCTGTCAATGCTCATACTCCTCCGTAACGATACTGATTAGTTCATAGGAGGACAAGGGGGTCTTTGTGATTTTGGCGGCCGAGCGTTAATGGAGGACAGGAGAGGGCGATAGGATTCAGGGAGCGAGCCGAGAATGATGGCGTGGAAGTCCGTATCGAGGATCCCCGCACCCATGCCCGCAGCAGCTCGCGCAAGCACAGCATCTCGGCGAAGTGGGCTTTGACGTCAGCTCCCTCGTCGCACCTTGTCTCCTGCAAGCGCCGCCGTAAATCGATCTGGACGAGCTCGGTCTTGTCTTCATGGATCTGGCAGATCTCCTCCCAGACCTCTGAGGCAGACTCGAACTTTTGGACGCGCAGCAACAGTCGGTCGGTAATCGTACTGAAGATTTGCTGCTTAACAAGTGAGTTCTTTTGATCGTACTCATCCATTTTCTTATCGCGCTCATCTATCTCCTTCTGGGAGGGAATCGAACCGTCCGGTTTCTCCGGTACTCCCGAATCCTTGCCAATGAGGTAGGGTAACGGTTCGACGGCACGACCATCAGCATATCGCATCAAACCTCGGGCACTTATCGCCGTCAACGTTCTCTCCTTGTAGGTAATCAATTCGTGCCATCTTCGGCAAGTTTTGGGACGTTGAACAGCGAGGACGTAGTGC